GATGTGGAAGAAAACAGGAGATCAGGGAAATAGGTGGATACAAGGTGGCATTGGTATCGGCTACACCGGCGAATTTCAGGTAGAAAATAAAAACCTGGAAGAAAATTGCCAGAAAAAAAGAGATTTAGTCCTGCACAGCCATAGAATTATTCTTTACCGGAATCATTAAACTTTCATTATGGTACACACGAAGGAATCTATTTTTACTCCTTTGCAAGTCCATTGCAGGTAAACAAATTTAATTGGTACTCGGTATCGCAGAGGTCATGGGTTCAAATCCCGTACAGGCCTGAATTTTTTTTCAGGCCTTATTTTCACTACGGCCTAAGTAGTGCACATTACTGCGAGGATCACTTTCATTAACGTCTTTATCCGCAGTTCAAATATATGACTTTCATATATTCTTAACCATTTACAATGTCTATTGTTACAGATTGTGTTTAAAGCAACTCCTAACAAAAATTACACAAGCCGTATAGCGTTGGATAGCTTCATATTAGCTGATGGACTGTGTGACGATGAGAATGAACTTGACAGCAGTCAACAAGGTTTTCAACTCGTATCTATCGTATATGATCATTACTGCTTATACATCTCAACTACATTTATTGTAGCTTCTGATATCTATGTGATGTTCTAAATGCAGATCACCGTTTTTAGGCCTTCTTCGTATTTGAAACCTAACCGTTACTTTTCTAGGTATCTTTCAGCATAATTTTTCTCGTTAAGCCGCTTTCCATGAGTACTTTTTTTCTTTTCAGACAACGCTCACAACATTGGTTATATCTTTATACCGCAGGAAACTGCAACTTTGACCAGAATTTTTGCTTTTGGAAGAATGATTCGAATTCCATTTTCAAATGGACTCTTCGAGGAGACAGAGCACCCAAGTATCAGACCGGACCCAGCGGTGATCATACTTCAGGTACGATCGATTCATTAACATTTTACTTATTGTTTTTTTTTTAATTGAAGAATTAACCAATCTTCAGTTGTCAATTAGTGATACTTTGTTTACCAGACCAGCTAAAAGTATGGATTAGTTTTTTTGCTATTTTTAACAACAAAAATTAGACTAGGATGCCT